CTCTTCCATCTTCTCCTGGATGGCATGGAGTCGGTCCTGCGTGGCCTCTGGGGCTGCTCCCAGCCCAGAGCCCTGGAAGACAGGCACAGCTTTGCTCAGATATGGCACATGCCTCCCTTTCGGAGACTTGGCCAGCAGTCATACTTCACATCCTCCAGCCCTGGAGTGGGTGCAACTAGGAACCATCCCCCAAAGAGGAAGTCACCAAGATGTCCTGTTACTGCAAGGGCAGGACAGAAATACAACCACTCAGCAAGCCTCAGTTCTTGAGAGAAGCAGAGGAACAGCCCCTTTCTCCTGACCTTTCTGTGCTGCTTTCCTTCCCCCGGACTCACTGTCTGATGATGCCTGTGTCACTCTGTCCCAGTAGTCCCTGCCTCTGCCAGCTATAGCCATTTTCTAAGGCCACCTACAGTAACTCCACAAACCCCCTTTGGCATTTCTTTTGCCATGCCTATAGCATCCCTGAGCTCAAGTTTCCACCAAGCTTTTCGTCTATGTCCCTGGCATCACTGACAGAACCTTATTTGCTGAAAAGTGAACCCCAAGATGCTGTTTGGCACCCGAGGGTAGGTTTATGCTGAGGACTAAACCCCTGACCAGCTTCACATGAGCCAGCTCCCAGAAACCACCCAGCTACTGCAGCACAGACCTCATAGCTAACCTGGCTACAAGCAAGCATTCCTGTATAAATAAGCCTCACTGCAGAGGGCCAGGGCACTGCTAAGATTCACCAGACTCGTGCTGCCAAAGCACAGAGCCACACCCCAACTTCTGGAGGGGCATTTCTTTTCCCCCATCCACCTCTATCAGAATCCAGAGAACACACTTTTATGGGGCTGTAGGTGGATTTTCTTTTCTCAAATTCAGTTCAAGAATTACTGTGGCAGATCCTTCTGCCTCAGGCAAGAAACCAGGCTTTCTCCCTGCACTGAGCCCAATCTAACAAAGACTTTCCCATGGGTACCTCTCCCTTCCTGCCTGATTGCATGGGCTTACATCCGCATGGCTTCCA